TAAGGAAATTTATCACCATAGACATGTGCTAAAAATGTCAAAGGAAGTTTTTCAGACTGAAGGAAAATGATACAAGAAGGAAATTTGAGACCTTAAGAATGAAAAGTAACAGAAATGATAAAAGCTGGATAAATATAATTGATTATTCTTCTCCTCTAAGTTCTTCCAAATATGTATGCCTGTCAAAAGCAAAAGTTATTGCTTTCAAAAAACATTGTCTTGATGGAATTTTCAATGGATGTAGAAGTAATACATTTGACAACTACAACATAAATGGGAGACGTAAAGAAACCTACTGAAATGTTCCACATTCTCCATGAATTGGTAGGACAGTAATTCTAAGTATAAAGTGAAAATTTAAATATATATGTTGTAATCTTTAAAGAAACCATTTTTTAAAAAAGCTGTATAAAGAGGCAATAAAAAAACCTCAATAGATAAATTGGAATAATGAAAAATATTCAAATAATCCAAAGAAAGCAATGAAAGAGAAACAGAGGAACAAATCATAGAGGAAATAAAAAAGAAAACAGATAATAAAATGGCAGACCTAATCCCAAACATACCAATATTTATTCAACATAAATAGTAGAAGAAGACAAACTAAAAAACAGAGGTCATCAGAATGACTCTTTAAAAGACTCTTTAAAAGTCTCAACTACATACTGTCTATAAGAAACCTATTTTAAATATTATGATGTTGGAAAGTTAAGTGTAAAATAATGGAAAAAGATATATCATGCAAACATTAATCTAAAGAAAACCTGAGTGGCTATATCAATATCAGACACAGTACACTATAGAGCAAGAAAAATTATTGAGAATCAAGAGAGACATTATTTACAATAAAAGGGTAAATTTACAAGATGTTAAAAAATCCTAAATGTGTATATACCTAATATTAGAACTTTAAAATACATAAAGCCAAAACTGATAGAACTAAAAGGAAAACTAGACAATCTTCAATTTACTTAGAAACTTTAACATTCCTTTCTAAATAGCTGATAGAACAAGTAGACAAAAATAAAAATTGTAAGACTAGAAGTACTAAACAATACTATTAACCAACTGGATCTAATTGATTTTTATACAACATTCATCCCAACAAAAACAGCTTATATATTTTTCTCAAATGCACGAGGAACATTCACCAAAATGAGCCATGTACAGCATTGCTTTGATGCCGATGACAGCACCAGAAAATAAAACTAATTTCTTTCATTAATATAGACAAATGAATATTCAACAAAATGCAAAAAAATTAAACTCATAAGCATACAAGAATAATATACAATGACCAAGGGAAATTTGTCCTGGGAATCCAGCCAGGCTCATTCAATGTTTGAAAATCAACCAATGTAATCAAACCATATTAATAGACAAAAGAATAAATCCATATGATTGTATCAATTGAAACAAAAAAAGCATTTGACAAAATTCAACATTTCTTCATAATAAAAACTACACAGATAACTAGGAATAGAAAGGAAACTTTCTTAACCTGATGAAAGACATCTGCAAAAATCTACAACTAACATCATGATTCATGGTAAAACAATGAATCCTTTCCTCATCAGATAGAGAATAAGGCAGGACTGTCCATTCTCTCCACTTTCATCCAACACTGTACTGAAAGTCCTAGCCAATACAATAAGGCAAGGCAACAGATTGGAAAGTTAGAATTAATCTGTTCCTATTTACAGATGACATGCTTGTATATGTAAACAAACAAACAAACTCATGGAATCAACATAAAAATTTATAGAACTATGTGAGTTCAGCAAGTTTGCAGGTTTCCAAGTTCAATACTCAAAACTTAGTCATATTTATATATACTAGCAATGAACAATTAAAAACTCACTTAAAAAATAGCATTCATAATAGGTCCAAAAGAGTGAAATATTTAGGAATAAATCTAAACTTCAAAACACTGATCAAAGAAATAAAAGAAAACCTAAATATATTGAGAGGCAAACCTTGTTCATAGATTGGAAGACTCAATATAGCTAACATGTGACTTTTCCTCAAATTGATGTACAAATTAAATCAAAATTCAAGTGGGAATTTTTCGTAGAGATAGACAAACAATTCTAAATTTATATGGAAAAGCAAAGGAATTTGAATAACCAAAAAAACCTTTTTTTTAATTGTGTGACTTTTACTACCTGATTCTAATTTCTATAACACTACATTAATCAGTAAATTATGGTTTTAGCAAAAGGATAGCCATGTAGAGCAATGAAACATAATAGAGCATCCAGAACTAGGCCCACACAGTCAAGGTCAATTGATTTTGACAAAGTTGCAAAGTTAATTTGAGAAAGATAATTTTTTCAACAAGTGATATTGGAACAATTGGACATTCACGTGTTAAGAAAAAAGAACCTTGACCTAAACTTTATATTCTATGTCAAAATTAAGTCAAAGTGGATTAGAGATATAAATATAACACATAAAACTGTGAAAGTTTAAGAAGAAAACATAGCAGAAAAATCATCATGATCTGGGCTTAAGCAAAAAATTCATAGAATCAACACCAAAAGCATGATTCATAAAGAAAAGAATGACAAATTGAAATTTATCGAAATTAAGATTTGCCCTACAAAAGACACTGTTAAGAGAATAAAAAGACAAAGTTAAAACTGGAAAAAATACTTACAAATTACATATCCAACAAAGTACATTTGTATAGAATACATAAGGAACTCTTAAAACCCAACAGTAAAAAATAAACAATTAAAAATAATGAGTGTGATAGAATTATTCTGTATCCTGATTGTGGAAATGGTTATATGAACTCATACATGTGTTAAAACTTGCAGAAATGCACACAATCCCAAAAAGTCAATCTTATTGTTTGTTCATTTAAAGAGGAAAATTATAAAAGGAATACTTAAAAGAATAGTAATTGTATTCTAAAAGAATAAAATTGCTACCAGGGAAAGTAAATGAAAAGAGATGGAGATCAACTCATTTTGGTGGTTCATAATGTGAATAATATGGATACTAAAGAGAAATTACAAGTCATTACAAATTTGATGACTTAATTGTCATAGCTAAGACTCAAAGGAAGAGAATAAAAATTAAAGTCAAAGTCTAGAATATTATGCTTATTAATCTCAAGGTGGACATTGGTTGGAAGATTCTAAGTTTCAATAACAAATTGCCCAAAACGTAAACCATTGTGATTTAACACATAAATTCTAAGAAAATAGATTTTGCCAAAAAGATGTAGAGTACAGAACAGAGGTTCAGAAGAAAGACATCCAGATGGTAATTAGAAAACAAGAATGATGGAAAGGCACTTTCTCTATTAAAATTCCTTTATATGAAAGAAATTAGCTTTTTCTGAATTTTCTGATTTTCTGAATGCTTTTTCTCTCTTACTAAACTCTATGTTTCTTGAGTATAAAAGTCAAGGTAGAAGGGCCTCAGGGGTGACAATCTTGTTAGGTGTAAGTGGTGGAGGTGGAGTGCTCCTAGGGTATATATGTAGAAAGTGCTTTAAAATATTAGATGTAGTACTTTTCTTTCTATCTTGTGCTTATTTGGGATAGGTGATGATGAATAATAGAGACTGAAGTGGATCTAACTACACCACACCCTAACTACCCACTGACACCATCAGTGATACAAAATACATAGTTCATGTTTATATCCTCTGCAATACTGAGCATTGGTATATAGAAAGAGCTTAATTAACACCGTTCAATTGAAATTGAGTAGAACACTTCCTGCAATTCTAAGTTGTCTCCTAAATTCTCGGAGAAAATCAGGTCGTATGAGATAGGGTATAAAAGATGTTGAGAAAAGGGGCCAATCAAAGAATAATTCTATCCCTTATGCTAAATTCTTAGATTAACTCTGGTTCTCAATTAAACATAGATATTATTTAGGGTGAGTGCAGAAAACTGAAATTTTTATGTCCTTGGAAGAACTTACAATTGCAAATAAGCACAAAATCTTAAGAAATTATAATGTTCTCAGCTGATAATAACTTCTCATACTCCTCATAAAGTTCATTATATTAGTAAACACATTTATTTTGAGAATGAATGTAATTGTTTCACTAGAAGTCACAAAAAGTTATCAATTATGATCTCCAAAAGTTAAGAGTTTTGAAACATAAACACAATTTTTAATGAAGTCAGGGTATCTAATGAAGTATTTAAGGGAAGAAAAAAAATGACCTTTGGATCTGTTCTTGCTTTGCCTGGGTGATTAATTTTTTTCTTTTTTTTTTTTCTTTTTCTTTACACACCCTGCCATAAACTTTTTTATTTACACTTTACTGTAACTGACTTCATGTCATTTGCTCTTGCTCAATAACAATCAGTTAACAGCAAAGGCAGGTGTTCTCAAGGATGTGGCCTTTTCATAGAGTGAATCCATACAGTTTTTTTTTTTAATCATCATAAAAAACATAAAGATAAAACTCATTCTAGAGTCTGGCAGGGAAAAAGATATATGCAAAAAAAGCTAAGGATGGAGATCTGGAATAGTAAAAATTGGTAGTAACCTACCCATTCTAAATTTATTTGTTCCCTTTTTTTTTAGCAGTTGTATTTGTTTAATCACACCAGCGATGGTTTCTGCTAGCACCTTAATTTTTACATGGCTTTTGTTCTACCTTTTTGCATTATGTTTAGGTATAAAAATTATAATTAAACTTTTGGTTGAATTTCTGTAAAGTTTGAGTCTGCTGATCTTCTGAGATCATAACAATACTCCACTTTCCTACTCTCTTCACCAATGAACAATTTTTTTCCTGCTATCCTACTTGATAGAAATACATTATTTTTCCTTTCATTTTCCCACCTCTATGCATGTGAGTACCAAGTTCACTCCAAACTGTACACCTATTCTTCCAGAATTTCCTAGTCCAATCTTCTGGTCAAATCAAGTTCTTCAGGATGGTCTGAGGATGTCCTCAAAAGTTGCCCCCCTTTTTCTCTTTGTCCTTTCTCCCACCAAATTACCACCATTAAGAATAATCTTTAGCTGCATATTGGTAGAGCTTGGAGTTGAGGCCACCAACTGGCCAATGAACTCACAAGTGTAGGTAGTGTGCTACATATAAGGGCAAGTTTTTTACTAACACCACAAGGGTCTCTAGCCCAATGAGTGGAGTTCGATAGCAATCCTTGCTAAAGTGTTATTTGAACGTATGAGAACTTTAAGGAGAGATGAAAGCATTTAAAAATGGTCTGTTTTTCTCTGTATTTATTGCTCTACTTGGGCCTCTCAAGCATTATTTGTCTTTTCTGTTTTCAGACCAATTTGATGAATCCTGCTCTAAGATCTTAAAAAGGGGTACTAGCCCAGGAAGTTCACACGCATGACGCCTTCTCCCATGAAAACCTATGGGAGGTCATGCCTGATCTCTATTTTTACAGAGACCTTGAAGAGATTGAAAAGCAAGAGAGGCCACTGCTGAAAAGGCCACTCCTAAGTTCATTTCTACTCACGCTAAGGACACAGACTAGTCTAAAAGCAAGCAGGTGCCCTCTGTGCCTGTTCATCAGTTCCCCACTGAAGATCAGGGTGCTCGCTGGAGACTGGTCTGCATCCCTCACTGCTCAGGCCATTGAATCTGTAGGAATGACCATTGAGCAGTCTTCAGCTGTTCTTTCACAGACTCTTAAACAAAATCAAAATAAGGTTGACAGAAAAGAAACAGTTTCTAAAAGTGTGTCCATTAAAAAATAAAAAGAATAATCTTTAAACAAGAAACATCCTGGGCATAGTTAAAAATTAATGTGTAATTTGAGGAAGCCTACCTAGCCATTAGGAAATTGACTTACATTAATTTATTAGTTATTTAATGGCCTGGAGGAATGGTATTCGGCAGCTAAAAGTAAAGGCTTAAATTAATCTGGTCTTGGAGCAACAGTGAGGGCGAGGATGAAAAAGAAAAAGCATAATAAGGAGAGAGAAGTGGATAGATTGAGAGATTGGTGATGATCAGGGTAATGATGGTAGTCGGAAAAGTAGGCATCATTAAAGAAGTAACAGAAACAGTTATCAAAAAGGCAGATTTTGCTAGACAATAAATAGAGTCTAGACGATCCTCCTTAGGAGTGTTTTGATTTGAGAAGATCTCTTAATCTGAAATCTCAACCCTAATAGTCTGAAGGCCATTCACGTTGTTTTTTTTGTTTTTTTTTTTAATGAATTTCTTTAGTTTTAGACATTTCCTCATTTAAGTTCACATACCTTAAGAAGGTGGCTATGATGCCAAAATCTTATATTGACCCTTAATTCCATTTTCTAAATTAACAATTTAAAAGAAATTTCATACATAATAGCCAAATTGGTTAAGATGGTTTTGTATGCAAGGAATAGAAAGCTCCCCTTAAAATTAATAATATACTAAAGGGAACTTATCTTCTTACCTAATGAAGAGGCTCTGGGAACAGTTAGGATTTGAGCATGGTTTGGTCCAAATTTTCACAGTTATCAGGACTCTTTATCTTCTCTTCTGCAATTTTCTCAGCTCTGTCCACCAACATGGGTTGACTTTGTTCTCAGCTAGTCTTCCCTAATGCAAACGGTATAGCTGTTGGTAGTTCACAGTGCTACATACTTCCTCATTCACATCCAGAAGGAGAAAATGTGTTTTTCCCCAATAATAGAACTCTTGAGCTCCAACTTGATTGTACCAAATTGGGATATTTACACTTAGCCTTGAGCCAATCATGTGTCAAAAGAAATGATATTACCTTAAATAACAAATCTGAGAGCTCACTCTGTTATAGTTAGAAGAGGCTGAACACAGGGGAGACAACCACAATGTTCACTGTGGACTTTAATAGATGGAGAGAGAAGCCCAGAGCTGGGACATCAGCTAGGGTAGGCCTGGGCAGGTTGTTTTAGAGGTAAGTCCTGTTTTATTGGGTATTTTCTGAAGACAGTAGGCATCTGGCAGGGTAGGTGATGCCAGGAAAGAAGAGGAGAAACATGCAAACGACATATTCCACTATGAGACTCTTCCCTTTCCAGTGGTAAACTCATGGCACGTACATGATCTGCCACATTCTCAGCATAATGACCAGGGTGACTGTGCTGGATCATTGAAAAATCTGTGTCATCTACATCTACAGAGAAGTTTAACTTGCCAGTCCAGTCTAGATCCTTTTGGTACGTTTTGCTGATCCTCTGCACTAAGTGGAAGTAACCATCACCCTACTTTCCTAACCCCTCTCCAGAAATAGTCTTTGGTTCTCAATATAGTTCTGCCTTCTAGTCTGAAATGAGCGTATTCCTGTATCACACTGAAGTTAGTTAAAAACAACTAGGTTGTTTTCTGTTATTTCAAAAGAACTTTACCCTTATATCTTCAATTTTGAAGACTTGTAGTCAACCTAAACAGAGTTAGAGATTGAAACTATTTTGCTTTTAAACACTTCATTTGCCAGAATAAATGCTAAAAATGATTAATGTTAACTACTGTTTTTTAACTAAGTAGGACAAGCTAAAGCAGTGGTGTTAGCCCCTAGCCGCACATCAGAATCATTTAAGTGCCTTGACCTTTCCTGGAATGATTCCGATTTAATTAGTCCAGAGTGAGGCGTTGGCACAAACATTAAAAAAAATTTTTTTTGTATTGAGATATAATTCACATGTTATAAAATTCAACTATTTAAAATGATATTAAGTATATTTACAGAGTTGGGGTACCCACATTTTTAATGCTCCTCAAGAGTTCTAATATTCATATAGATAGGGTCGAGAACACTGAGCTAAAGCAAATTGTTAGACTTTGAGACAACCTAATAATCAACTGAGCTCTAAGTTAAAAATTATTCAAAAAATATTCTAAATTCTGTGGCTTTTAAGAAATTAATAGACAATTTTTAAGCTCAGCTTTAAGGTCACAGCAAAATTTAGTGGCAAGTACAAAGCTAAAATTATTTTTTTAACAATTAAATTCTCTAATTCAATTTAATTTATTGGTATTCTAAGTCTGAGGGAAAAAAACAGAAAAATCATTAATAATGTTCATGTTTTCTTAGGGAAAAAATTCACAAAATGGTTATTCTCCTTGTAAAGAGTTATTTTGTATTCATGTAAAATGTAAGATAAAATCAAAATATGGTTTTTGCTCTTTTTGAAAAATCTATTTACAATTTATTGATCAACACTTTCATAGCTCTCTTTTATTGGAGAGATAAAGCACTTAAACAAAATTCCAGTGATAAATAACTGAAAATATCCAATATTAATCTAATCCCTATGCATTCCTTTCTACCTTTGATATAAAAGATTAAAAAGTATTGCAGATATGTGCCTATATATATTTATCTCACAAAAGTGTTATTTGCTTTAAAGAAAATATTGATCATCTCAGCTAAATTTAGTTTACAGAAAACATCTATAACCAGAAAAGTTTTAATATGGAATATTTAGTATAAAGAGTTGCCTAAACTATTATAAATAAAAACGTGATCACACTACTAGTTTTTGAACCATATTAAAGCAAATAGAAGTTTGTGTAGCCATTTGGTGAATTTAAACTGTGTAGTCAACTAAACAGGTCCACTTTACAACCAAATACTATCTTTAGTGCTGGGTGTAAAAAAGCAAAAATATAAAAAGCAATGTAGAGCATAGTGGTTAGGAAAGAATCGTGGAGTCAGGAAAACCTGTTGGGGTGCCTCCACAAATTGTCACTGTGGTTTTAGGGAAGATATTCTCTCTAATCTTAATTTCCCCATTTCAAATATTGGGGAGAGTTAATGGTACCTACTTTTTAAGGCAATCATAAGTATTAAATGGGGGCAATATATGTAAAGTGCTTAGCTTATGACCTGGTACATAATAAATACTTAACTAACATGAACTGACATAACATCATTGTTGAGTGTCCCTAGAGGGAAAAGAGACTCTATTATTGTTTCTCTAGTCTTGTTACTGAAAATGAGCATGAGAGAGCACAGGGAACCATACGCAATTTAGTTTAACTTTGAGGATGAAGATGGTAGATGAGCCTGTATAGACAAGCAATAATGCTAGAAATGCATTTCAGATTAGTAGATGGGATTGAAGAAGAAAAAGGAGATAAAGAAAATAGGGTGGATAAGGTGCTGTGAAAGATCAGATTACATTAAGGAAATATTCACTCCCTCCCCACATCTCTTCATAGAAGAAATACCCCTCCATCCCCTTTGGTGTTAGCTTCGACTCTATGACTTTCTTTGACCAATGGAATGTGGGCAAAATGAGAATGTGCTCATTAAAGTTTAGGACTTTTATTTAACCTTTAGTATTTTATTTTATTATTAGTTTCAAGTATACAATACATTGGTTAGACATTTTTATAGTTTATAAAATGATCCCCCTAATTGCTCTTTCTCTCCTCTGGCTCTCTACCTAGCCATTACATTAATATTAACTGCATTCCCTATGCCATGATCCCCATCCTGTGACCATCTATCAACTACTAATTCGTACTTCTTTAACCTTTCACCCCTTTCTCCCAGCCCTCCCAAACCCCCTCTCCTCTGGCCATCACCAGGTTGTCCTCTATATTTGTGTCTGTTTTTTATTAGTTTTTTCTTTTTGTTCCTTAGATTCTACATATAAGTAAAATCATACACTATTTATCTTTCTCTGTCTAACTTATTTCACTCAGCATAATGACCTCTAGGTCCATCCACGTCATTGCAAATGGTAGGATTTCATTTTTTTTTTTAATGGCTGAGTAATATTCCATCATAGATATGAACCATAACTTTTTATCCAATCATCTGTTGTTGGGCATTTAGGTTGTTTCCATATCTTAGCTACTGTGAATAGAGCTGCAGTGAACATAGGGGTGCATGGATCTTTATGAATTATTGTTTTGGTTTTCTTTGGATAAATACCCAGAAGTGCAATTTTTAAGTTTTTGAGAAACCTCCAGGCTATTTTCCATAATGATTGTACCAATCTGCAATCCCACCAACAGTGTATTAGGGTTCCCTTTTCTCCACATCCTCGCCAACACTTGTTTTTTGATTTATTGATGATAGACATTCTGCCAAGTGTGAGCTGATAGCTCATCATGGTTTTAATTTGCATTTCTCTGATGATTAGTGACCTTGAACATCTTTTCATATGTCTATTGGCCATCCGTATTTCCTCTTTGGAGAAATATCTGTTCAGGTCTTCTGC